CCTCCTTGGTGGGCCACAACCTTGAAGACCCCTCAGAGTGCTCACTGGAATGCCCTGGATTAGAGCAGCTGCCAGGGAAGAAGGCTGGGGGTGAGGGGCTCTGGAATGAGCTGTTTGGGTGCTGCCATGGAAACAATGGAAAGCTGGAAGCCTCCAGACCTGGGTGGAGCCTGGACCACCTCCATCAGATTCTTTCTTTGAGCCGGCTATGCTTTTAACAGCAGCCTGGAATCCCTCATTCCCACCTGCACCATTTTTTTTTTTTTTTGGTAAAGATTTATTTATTTGTTTGTTTGTTTATTTATTTATTTATTTATACAAGCACTGGGTACAGTCAGAAGCGTGGGAGGGTGAGCGAATTCACCAGAGCCAGAGCGGGGAGCAGAACAGACAGACCGACGAAACACACTGCTGAGGGGAGCAGCGGGTTTGGCAGGAGAGGTCTGCGCGCCATGTGGGACCCTCACCCTGGTGCCGGGGATCAAACCAGCGCTGCAGAGGCTGCGGGCAGCTTCGCAGCCCAGCGCTCAACTGCTGCGCCACCGGGGAGGCCCATTTGCACCATTTTTAACCACTACATTCTCCTTCAGGTGCCAACTCAACTCATACCCTCCACGAAACTTTGTCTAGTCCGCCTGTCACTGCCAGAACCGTTTACTTGTATTTCCTTTGAAACACTTAACTAGTCATGTTTTATAGTTCTTCCGTGCTCATCCATTTCCCCCAATAGAAAACAAATTCCTTGAGTTCACCGTCTGTATCTTTAGTTCATTTTGGAATTGCTTACCCAGGTAGCTGCTGGCTTTCTGCTTCTTGTTAGGCAACATTATTCAGGAAAGCCTTAGAAAAGAGAAAACGTCCTCATGTGCACAGTGGGGACTCAACACTACACACTGAGCCAAATCGTATGGCTGAACTGCAGAGAGCAAAGATGCTGTTCTTGGCCTCCTCAGCCTCAATTGTATCAACAACTCAGATTCAGGGAAGGGAGAAAAAAGCCAGCAAACAGCGTTTCTCCCTCTGGGGGAAAGAAGAGCTTTTTGTAGTAATAACTGGTTTTTGCCTCCTTGACTTCCTTACCCTGGGATCATAACAGGCATCAGAAAATTTAGTGCTATGTATATACTCAATCGACTAGGCAACCAGAAATTACCAAACAAAATTATATCAATTCATGAGCACCCAAATGTGTCAGGAACAGAGCCAACCAAGTTTTTTCCACACTGGTAATAGTCTCACTTTCAGCTGATGTGAACCTAGTATTCAAAACGGCACCCTTGAGGCCAAGGCCCATCTCTGTTTGAGGTCAGCAATCTTTGGAAGACAGGTCTGGCTGCTGTCATCTCTGTTTTCCTGCACCGGCAGCTCATCGGAGATTCAAAAGTAGCCAGTCATCAAAAGAGACCTGCAGAGCATGCCTCTGCTCTGGAATGCCTGAGAACATTTGGCATCTGAGACAGAGCTGAAAGAGTTTTCCAAACCCAGAATGTTGAAACTCCAATGGTGGATATTGTTTTCCTGAATATCTTCTCCTATCTGATCATAGTGCTGTGTGTGAGCCCAGAAACCCATGTGGCATTGGAACGAGCGCCAGATATGGAGGGGTAGGAGACTGAGGCACTCTCTGATGAGCCGTGTGACCCTGGGCATTTCATTTCAATGAGCCTCATTTCCTTGCTCTATAAAAATATTTGTTCATTAATTCAGCAAACATTTTCCAAAGGCAAGCATATCCTAGATGTTGGAAATGCTGTGAATAGAATAGATTGTTTCTAGAAAAGTTGACGATTAAATAAACAATTACCAAAGCAGTTATGGGCTATGGTAGTCGCGTAACAATGGTGAGGGACACAGACAGGGGCAGGAGCTCTAACCTTAATGAGGTCATGAGAGCCTTCCCAAGGGGAATAATATTTCAGCTGAGACTTAATGAATACAGGCAGGACATTCAGTGGTAGAGGTTGGGGTAGGATTGGGGGAGAATTGTGGGTTTCAGATAAAGAAGCTGTGCAAAGCCTCAAAGCAGAAGAGAGACCACAGATCTTATTGAATGTAAGAAATGGAAGGTTTTGTAAACATAAAAGTGACTGGTTGCCATTGTTGGCGCGTCCTCTCGTCGTTTTTTCAAAGTCGGTGTCGTGGTGAGAACACCCCGCTGGGAAATGGAAAACTAGACCCTGCCCTCGGCCACTAACCAGCCCAGTAATTTTAAACAAATTTTGAATATATTTCTACTCTTTAGTTTATTCATCTGTGAAATAGGGCAAGAAAGTCCTCCCCTCCTCTCCTTCTGATACATTGAATGAAGAAACGTTTGCAGAAGGCTTAAGAAAATGAAAATGAGTTACAAATGCAGGATGTTTGGTAGAAACTTGCCCCAGTCGTAAATGAACGCACGACCATCCGCGTCAGTTCAAAGACTAGAGAAGTGATTACATCAGTACCTTTATCCACTGCCTGCCCCCCTTTCCTAGGGGATCAGGAGATAAATAGCAGTTTCTTTCTGATTGGTTTGGTGATATTTCATTTCAGTGCATAATCAGATTTCGTCTAGGGGAGAAAGTATGCTATTAATAAAAAAGGTTTTTTATTGTAATATTTGTGATTACTGAGAGTGGCTGGTTAGGGCAGACAGCCCATGAGCCCCTGGGATCTTAATACCGACTCTAGCCAAGGCATACTTGGAATTTCAAGAAGGATCAAATAAGAGAAGGTGGCCTGTGAAACATTGATGCTTTTTTGTCTCCCCTGTTCACTAACTTTTAGGGCCTCCCTGGGTCCATTATACCAAACTTATATTAAGCCTTCTAAAACCTCTGTAGGGCCTCCCTGGTAGTGCAGTGGGTTGAGCGCTGCGCTGTGAAACTGTCCACAGCCTCTGCAGCACAGGTTTGATTCCCAGCAGCCAGCCAGGGAGATTCCCACATGGTGCGGCAGACCTCTCCTGTTGCACCTGCTGCTCCCCTCAGCAGTGTACTTCGGTCCTTCTGCCTGCTCTGCTCCCCGCTCTGTCTCTGGTGAATCCTCTCACCCTCCCATGCCTCTGACCTGTACCACAGTTCTTTTATAAAAATAAATAAATCTTGGGCCTCCCCAGGTGGCACAACAGTTGAGCGCTGGGCTGCAAGGCTGCCTGCAGCCTCTGCAGCGCAGGTTTGATCCCCAGCCACCGGTGAGGGTCCCACATGGCGCACAGACCTCTCCTGCCGCTGCTCGCCTCAGTGGTGTATTTTGTCAGTCTGCCTGTTCTGCTCCAGCTCTGGCTCTGGTGGATTCTCTCACCCTCCCGCGATTCTGACTGTACCCAGTGCATGTATAAATAAATAAATAAATAAATCTTTTAAAAGTAAATAAATAAATAAATCTTTAAAAAAAAAAAAACCCTCTGTCATCTCACCACCCCTGCCTGTACCACCTCTTTCCCCACTCTTCCTCCGAACGTTTCTTCACTACCACTCCAGTCCCAAAGTCGGTATGTGCTGCCTCTGCACCTTCCCTCTTGCTTTTACATCCTATCTGCGTCACCCAACTCCTCCCACCAAATGGCCAGCTCTCCATGTGGTGACATGCAGCCTGGGGCCTGCACAACCTAAATGAACATTGATCTCTTTCTCTCTAATGGTGCATACATTTTGGCACTTTTGAAGATTTACTTTAGCCTCTACTTGCTCTTATTATTTTTGAAAACTAAACTTTGCAGAGCATTTTCAGTCTATAAGGAACTCTCACCTGTGTTATGATCCTGCATTGCTTAACAATAGGGATACGTCCTGAGAAATTCGTTAGATGATTGCATAGTTGTGCAAACATCAGCAAGAGTAATTACACAGACCTACATGGTAGAGCCTCGAGCACATCAGGGTGGATGGTACGGTCTATTGGGGCTGCTGTGGCATAGGCTATCCATCACTGAGTGAAACGACCTTAAGCCACTTATGACTGTATTTGTCTTTCACAACACTTGTGAGTCAGTGTGATGATTATTGTCCCATCTAACTGATAAGGAAGCTGAGACTTCAGGTTCAGTGACTTGCATTATCACCTGGCTAAGCCCCGGCAGAGCAGGATTTAAACTATGCTAAGTTTCATTGATAAATGCTCCTAGGATAGGAACCAGGTCATATATCTCCTTTTTTCCCTCCGCACCTAGTAGGTACTAGTTGATCACCTAGTAGGTACTTAGCTAACACTTCATGAAATGAAACCCACTTGCAATCTAGAAAATTTCATTGCAATTGCATTTGTGATTGATGCAAATGGTTATTAGTACTCTCAGCCTCTTCATGTAGAAAGAGAAATAGACTCACAGCATTATTTTTATTATAGTGACTCAGTAAACAAAGGGCGCCTTGCGCACTTTCTATGCAGACATGTCCCCCCACTGCCCGCACCTCCAGGGTCAATGGGAGGGCAGCCACAAAAGCAGGTACCACTCCCTGGGCTCACATCAAGTAGCACAGACTCACAGTCTCCTGGCAAAGGATGGAATGTGCTTGTCAGAACTTGCTCAGCAGGGTGGACATGCTCAGCTGGGCCATGGAAACCTAGGGTCACCTAGGCACACGGAGGATTTAGATTACCCAGCGCCACCACAGAGCCAGGTGGAAGAGCTCACCTGGGTGAGGGCAGTGTCCATCCAGCATGACCTGCCAGCATGGCAGTAAATTTCCCAAGAATCTTCAGGCCATTTTGACAACCTGGCTGAATGGAAAGATATTCTTTGCCACATCCCTATATCTACCCAGTATAATAGCGATTAGGATTCTAAATATTTGTAGAGTCCCTAATAGTATAGGAACACATTTGCCAGTATTGTCTGCTTTGACACCGGGACTTTATGAGACAGGTACTCACGTCTACATTAGAAAGTGCATGTAGCGGATCACACCTTCAGAATACTACCCGAGGGCTAAGAGGAAGTCGATCTCCCTCCTAGCCTTGCCCCCTACGTCTATCCATAGAGGCAACACATGCCATCATTTTCTTGTGTAATTTTCCAGATTTTATTCCGTCTTGGTGATGAAGAATCTGACACCCAAAGCAACTGCAGCACCTTCCCAAGAAAGCATGCTGAGTAAGTCGCAGGTAAGGATTTGAACCAGCTTTCCCCACCATCTCTTTGTTTCCCCTACACTCCTGGTGTTCACACTGTCGTTTAGCCAGGAAATCAGCTCATAGGAAAACCTACAGGACCATAAAATAATAAAACCAGATAAAAGTCAAAGCCAGAACTGGAGGCCTGGGGCCCTACAGTTCTTCACTGAGAAGCAGAACCATCTGCCCCCTCTGTGGCTGCTCTCAGCCAACTCCCCATCCTTAAAATTTTATCCCTCCTTCTAAGAAACAGACGTCAGTCCACCCACAGACTGTTTGCTCTATCAAAGTGTTCCCACCCGGTGTCTTACTTCTTCAAGACCCTGATACTTTCAGGGTTGGTCTGGGTAGATGACGGTTGGGCTGCTGATGGGAGATAAAGCCTAAAGTCTGGTGCAGGAACCCAGCCCTAAGGTCACCACGTGGAGAGTTTGGAAACAAGGCCTGAGTTCACTTATCTTACCTGGAATCCTCCTGCCCCCTCATAAGCTTTCCTGAAAATCTTCTACAAAGCTTTGAGGGTTACAGACAAGACTGGTGCAGAGGGGGTGGATAGATGGGAGGGGTCATGGTGTAAAGCCATGGGAAGGGTGTCTGTATGTATGTATGTTAGTAATTATGTGGCACCCCCCCACCCCTGCAACCCCCAGTTTAAATAATTTCTTTCATCCATTCTGCAAATCAAATATCTGTAGCACTGCTTTCTCCTACAGGAAGAGCATTTCAACACAGAAGATATTTTCAGGTGAGGGCAGGCAAACCAAGGGGATCAGAGAGGGGTGAAGTCAGTGGTGGTTCCAGAATATCTCTATAATGGAAGCTGAAGGGTAACACTCTAATTGCACCGAGGTGTCCAAAGCTGCAGTGATGAGATAGATAAAGCAACATCACTATCAAAGGGTGCTATTTGCCCACTGGGTATCAGTAAATATTTTAGCACACTTACAAATGCCCTCTTCACTCACCAACAATTATTTACCAATGTTTAAAAAATCTTCACGTGCCATTCATGTGTCAGATTTAAATTCAGATAGAAGTAAAGGTTAACTTTCCAACAATGTCAACACCTCTGTACAACTATCCTTAGGAGGAAGCCTGTGGCCCAAAGCCTGGTGAATCTGGAATATTCCGCACTGTGCATTCCTTGGGGTGGGGAGGTGAGTTATGACTGGAATGAACACTTTCTGCTCACTCCCTCTATATTTGGCCTTTACATTTTAAACCTGAATATTATAATAAGGTAACTTTGGGCTTTTAATTGTCCCGAATTTTTGTTAACATTAAATGAAAGAAGGAAATGGAGAGGAAAATAAGCTATTCCTGCATAGCTTTTGAGTTGCCTAATTGTATATTTTTGCCACTCCATTAGTTTTCCTCTAGTTCAGCCTATCAACCTCTCCCCCACCACCACTCAGAAAAATAAATATGGCTGTCATTCGGTTATTGCTGCAAAGTTAGCAGACCTCTAAGTCTCCCGCTGTAATGTTAAAAAGAATTATGTAACTTTCTATTTAAGGTCTAATTTTTTAATTACCACCTGTGTGGGAGACCCTGAATCACACAAAAGCTTAGTTGTCTTCTTGCTTTTTCAAAAAATACCCTTTCCCTCCAAGAGGATATGACATAGGAAGATTTACACATCAGTTATGAGAGGCAGCCACAGAGGGGAACCTTTATTTCTGGAACAGAGGAACCACTGCCCCTCCCAATCCCGTAAACTCAAAAATGACCTCAGAGCCTCCATTCACACTTCCCCAGAATAAAACTTTACCTAGGTGCTTGACCACACCCACAAAATTTGGCTCTAAAGCCTTTTACCAAACAGTTTTGAAGAGTGAAAATAACCAAGGTATTCACTGCAACCATGACTACAGGTTTTATTAGCACTAACACCAGGATATGGTCAGATCCAGTATATTACAGACAGCAAACCCAACTGTGAGTGGTGTCACTGTGTGTGCTCATAAGTTCTCCACATTGGAGGCACAGCTCCTAAAGACTCTGATTCATAGAGGATGGGGGGTGGGGAGCGGCGGGGGGAGAGGCAAGAAGGAGAGGCATCAAGAGGGTGGAGGGTTGCTTGGTAAGAGAAGCTCAAGGTTCTAATTTTAGCTTGAATTCATCTTTTTAGTATAATCCCCTAATTTACCACTACCTTGCATTTAGATTGCAATTTTCCCTTCTCCGTGTTCTTTCACAGGTCTTGTTCTTCCTAACAATTCTGAGATAAATCTGATATGGCTAATAGCCTCATTTCTCAGATGAGGGAAGGGCTTGGAAAGCTTAGTTGATGTGCCCAAGGTTAGAGGTTTGGAGGACAATGATCCTGGATTAGAATCGGATGCTCTGATTTTTGTTTAATATTCTTCTCACCATACTCCTCTGCCAGCCTTCTGTATTACGGCTGGGGACATCTTGATACATATGCATTCCCCTTGCAAACACCCCTCACCTTATCAAATTCCTCTGATTAGCCAAAGATCAGGGTCAATGGGTCAAACTGGAGGTTACAACTAAAAAGTAAGTTATTTGCCTTTTATCCTCATTTCTCTTTTCCAAGCCCCCTACACAGATGACAGCACAAAGAATAGTCCCTATCTCGGAGGAAATGTATGGTCCGAGGGTTGTGAGCTTAAAATGCCTCCAAGGACTGAATAGGTGACAGGATAGGTAAGATGGGGACCAGGGCAGAGGGGAAAGAGAGGACAAAGGCCCTTCCAAAGCCCCAGAAGATTGTGGCTCTGTGGGAGGCTAAATTAGTGTAGGCAAATCTTAGAACTAGTTAAAGATTGAGAATTGTGCATGAAATCAGGAGGAAACAAACTAGAACAAAATTGGATATTGTTCCCAGACTGTCCCCAACACGCACTGTCATATGTGATATTGATATATGCTTCTCTGACATTTTTGGTCTTACTAAAATGTGAGTTCCTTAAGGTCACAGAGGGCATCTTAATGAATCGAGTGTGTATCCATACACATTTTGTGGCACACATCACAGGTTTTCAAGTAGGGACTATTCTTTGTGCTGTCATCTGTGTAGGGGGCTTGGAAAAGAGAAATGAGGATAAAAGGCAAAGAGCTTACTTTTCAGTTGTAACCTCCAGTCTGACCCATTGACCCTGGTCTTTGGCAAATCAGAGGAATGATAAGGTGAGGGATGTTTGCAAGGGGAATGACTGGATGACTGTCCCACTACCCAGAAGAGAAGATGCAGAGACTGAGGTCCTCAGTCTTCCAAGAGTGGCAGCTGGATAGCACAGTGGCTATAGCAGGATCTTTGAACTTAGACAAGACTAGAGACAGGACTTGGGCAGCTCCATGCATGACCTTGGGCAAACTACTGAGTCCCAGATAACCTCGATTCCCTCAGCTGTGTAATAGGGGTAAAAAGTCCTATCTCCTAAATTGCTGAAGGAGGCTGTGTTTGGATTACACATGCAGAGTTGCACACTTAGTAGTCACTCAATAAATAATGGCTTTTTCATTCAACAGATGATTCCCTGTTCTTGTGAAAGGTGATAAGACACTCTGCCAGCCCTGTTTTGAGGTTTTTGGCTTCCTGAAATAACTATGTCAAAAGAGGCCAGTCCAAAGAAAACAAGTGAGCATTCTAACTGAAATGAAGAAGGGAAAGGCGATAGTGATGGACAAAACAAGGCACCCCTAAGAAACTCAATCCTGGAGGTCGAGGGCTGAAATAGCTGGGAAAGAATAGAAATAAAGATAGCAAAAATCAGGGACGACAAATATGTCCAATGATCAAACTCTGGTTAGAACAAAATAATTCTTTAATAAACAGATGTTTTTACCTTCCCCACCATATGAACAACATAACAGCAATTATATTTTTTCAGCTACATAGCTCTCAACTATGTAGTTTTCAATACAATTTCAGGGCACCTACTATGTGAAGTATGATAGGTTAAATGCTTCCCTCACATTATCTCTTTTCCTCCTAGCACTGCATTTATTCAATCAATCATATATCCATCTTTTCAACAAGAACTTACTGCCAGTCTACTTTCTACCAGGCACTGCAGTGGGTATTGGATAAAATGATGTAGTACAGTGGATAAAACAGCTAACCTTCTGAACTTTGCTACCATCTCTGTTGCAGAAAGAGAAAACTGAACTCAGAGTGTCCAGATTTTATAACCTGTCAGTGGAGGAGGTAAAATTCTTGACTACAAGTTTTCTGGTTTAGGAAAAGAAAAATCAGGAAATCTCCTTGATGATCTCAGGCAGGTAAATATGAGGAAGTTGTTAACTCACTAACAGGCTAGAGAGATAATATTATTCAATCACATTTAGCACAGTTGGAATTTTCAGGGAACCTGAGATATAATTTCTAATGACTATTCCTGAGGGTGACTGAAAAAGACTAATTATTCTGAGTCTGTGTCATGGACCCCACAGAGACAATTTAATTAGGGATGGGAAGAGGAAAGGAAGGAAGAGGGTAAAGAGAAAAAGTAAAGGAGAATGAAATGGCTAGAGAGTCTAGACTTTGTACTACAGGAAGTTGGAGAAAGCCCAAATGAAAACTTTTTAAAACTCTTTTCATTATTCTTAAATTATTCTCTAATTTTTTTCCCCTGGCATCATCTTTGAGTAGAGAGAGGGTATCTTTTACCTCCCAAGTATTTCCTAGTAGAGCTTAATTAATACTTGATTGATTGAAAGATTCACTCATTTGAACCTGGAGTGAAACGAAGCATTTTAATTTTCTTTTCTGCTGAACCTGAAATAGAGCATATAGTAATTAGGTACGGATCCCTTGTTATCAGAGAGTCCCAGCTACAATGAGCTCTTTGTAACCGAGCAAAAGGAAGGAGGTAGGTGATTACTCAGGAGCTGATAAAGTACACACACCCCCCACCACCACTCCTTACTGCTTTCTGTGATACAGAGTTTTCTTGATCATAATTTCCTCCTTCTTTGAGTTATTTGAGTGAAGGATCTGGCTGGACTGTAGGCTAAACAGTGAGCAATATCATCAAAGTCTGGTCAAAGATGTGGTTGATGATCACTATGCTGTGCACTTTATTGTCCCTGCTCTCTCCAGTGACCTCAGTTGACTGATCAACATTTTTTTAAGAAATATTTTTTTCAGAATTCTTTGATTAACTGGCATGATTTCATTCATTCAGTACATGCCAGTCTCTAGGCATCCAGACACAAATGTCAAGCAAGGAACCTGTTCTCACTGAATTCACGTTCCAGTACAGGAAGACAGCAATAAAAATATAAAGTGACAGGTTCATCACCCATGGATGAGAAGTCTCAGAATGGGAAGGACTATAATGGCCAGAAGACAGGATGGCATGGCAGAGGGTGCCTGGGGGTTGGGCCTCTTTTCCATGACTTGCTTAAGAAAGTTCTGTCGAGGAGGTGACATTTAAAGTCACAACTGGGTGGAACTGCATTTGAGCCCTCAATGCTGTGAGTCAGTCATGCCAAGACCTGAGAGCAAATGTACCAAGGGGACTAAGATAGAGGGCAAACAAGATGGCAAAGTAGGTTTGTCCAGGTTGTACAGAGAGTACAAGAAGAGATTAGAGAAGGAAGCAGAGCAGGATGATGGAGAAACTTGTGAGTTCTAGTTAGGAGACCTCCCTTTGGAAAACCATGGGAGAGGGATGGGGAGTGGAGGATTGAGGAGACAGAGGGGTGGTGACACCATCTACCCTGTGTGAGAACTGATAACAGAGAGGGAAGAGTAGAACGGAGAGACTGGTGAGGAAGTTGTTGCAAAAGGGGCATGCAGTTTCCTGGGGCTGTCACAACGAAGTAACATAAAATGGGTGGCTTACACAACAAAAATGTATTTGTCTCTCAATTCTGGAGGCCAGAAATCTGAAATTGAACTATTGGCAGGGTTAGTTACTTCTTCAAGGTCATGAAAGAAGAAACTATTCCAGGCCTTTCTCCTTGGCTCCCAAGTGGTAGTCTACTCTATGTCTCTTCACAAGTCTTTCCCATAAGCATGTCTACACCTATGTCCCAATAGTCCCATTTTGTAAGGACACTTGTGATTCTTGTACTCTGGCATGACCTCATCTTAACTAATCGCATCTGCAACAATACTGTGTCCAACTATGGCCACATTCTGAGGTACTGGGGAATCAGGACATCAACATATAAGTATGGAGGT